CCCCCCCCCCCCCCCCCACCAACCCCCGACTTGTCTGGCCTCCTTTGGCTCCAAGGTGTTGAGGCTGGCCTGGCATCAGGTGATGGATACCCTGACCGAGCGTCAAGCGTTTGCTGGAAATAAAATCGATTCTGAATAATTTGCTTGTTTTCTATCGTTTTTTCTCAACTTCTCCCGCCCTCCCTTTCCCGCCTTTGTGAAACAAGAATACGAGCCACTGCGCACTCGCCAGCTCAGGATGAGGTGTCGTCCGTTTCATCATCTTCATCGTCGACGACGACGTTGACGTTGACCTGTCGATAAAGGTCGTCAATCCCAGCGCTGATGCTCGGCGCCGCCGCTAAGACCGCGGGTGCCCGGGCCGCCTCGGTAATCAAGTCTTGCGTCCGCGCACCCGATGCTGGCGCGACATGCGCCAAGAGTCGTTGTCGAGGTGACTGTCGCAACTCGACAGGTGGTCGCTTTGCCAGATGCCTATTCTCATTCACAATCAGCAGCAGCATCAATACAATGATGGACATCAGTACCTGCCCCAAAGCAGCCTGATCGGGATCGAGAAACAGAATGGTCATACCACGACGACCCGTGTGTTGTATCCACCCACCTGCGAATGGCGGCCTGAGCCGCCAATTCTTCCTGCGTTGAGGCCTGGCTGGTCGTGGACGCGGAGGCTGCAGTAGCTGCGGTCCAGATCCGACCTTGCTCAACAAAGCTTCCCTTGAACAGCTGGAACTCACCCTCTGATCGCATGATCAAACAAGATATAAAACAAGGGGGGGTGAGGCACAAGAGTCTGTCAGACACCATGCCCAAAACATCGAACACCTCCATCTGCTTGTCTTCAAAGCCCTCGTCCATCTGAGAGGGAGGTGTGCGTGCTGCACGTACCGGGAGCGCTCGGCGCTGCCACAGGCTCGGTGTCAAGTGTGGAACTACTCCATGTGTGAGTTGAGGCATCAACCACGCGATCCAAAAGATTGTGCAGACGTGTGGTGGCGTGACGACGAAATTCCTTGTTGGCGCGCACATGTTCCTCTTCCGCTTGTAGCTCCTGGTCGGGCCTGTTCAAGTCACAAACGACCACAAAATACCCCACGAGAAATGAGCTCCAGGCCAACCGCGCCCGGCTCTGCAACCATTGACGAGAGGAGAGGAGCAGCCACCCAAGCAACCCTGGAACCCAAACTCTGCCCAAGGACGACTAGCCTCTTTGACGGCAGGTTTACGGCTGTAGTCGACACCCCCGGAATCAAGGGCCTGCCTATCAAGTCGGGACAGTGGACATGTTCAACCAAGTGAGAGCAACGATAATACTTTCCGAGGCTTGCTCGTATGCGTCGCCCCGCTGGATGCACGTGGTGCGGGCATCAAACCTGATGACAACGGAGTGCCGGGCTTGGATGCGTTGGCATCCACCACCTTCTTGTCCGTCTTGTCCACCTTCACCTCAGGCAACCAAGTCTCCACACCCCCAACAGCCTCGGCAATCCGCCGAGCCGCATCATCGTCATCGCTATCGTCGTCCGACGAGCTCGCCGCGGCGCGTCGAACCGACGCCAGCATGTCGGCTCGTCGTGTTCGAAAATGTCAGATGAATATGCTCAAGTGTGTCAGAATTTATTCTTTATGTGATTATAAGTGTGAAGTGTGTTACAGTTTCTTTTGCGGGCATGTTCCAGAGCGACGGACGACGGCTGAACTTTGGGGTGGCGACTTGTGGCCGTTGACGGTGGCAAAGGGTGTGGTTGGTGAGACGTGCGGCACTGAAAACCATGGCCAATTCGCGATTCCAGTATGTACGTGGCTTTGAGAGTGAGGCGCGCTTGCTGCCCAACACCTGGATCGTGGTTCGCATTGACGGTCGAGGCTTTCACAAGTACGTATGGACATCCCAACGTGTGACGCTGGGCTGGAAGGGCAGATCATGATTGTGTCTGGCAACGTGATACGCGAGAGGCTGATTGGACGAATGACCGGTAGATTCTCAGCCAAACACGGCTTTAAGAAACCCAACGATGCCCGGGCCATAAACCTGATGAACGCAGCCGCGGTGGCATGCATGAACGAGTTTCCCGATATTGTCATGGCATACGGTGAATCAGACGAGTACAGGTACGATGGACATGGGTGGGATGAAGCCCACACGCTTGGCTACATGTGACAAGCTCACGCAAGAACTCGCTACGATGGGGCTCCTTAGCTTTGTCTTTGACAAGCGCACGCAGCTTTTTTCGCGCCGCGGCGACAAGATCATGTCTTCGATCGTGTCCTTCTTCAGCAGTACATACGTCATGCAGTGGCCGCAGCACATGGTGGATGCCGAGGGTCAACCTGAACCTTTGGTGGCGACCCCGCACTTTGATGGCCGCTGTGTCCTCTATCCTACCCTCGAGAATCTGCGCGACTATGTGGCGTGGCGCCAAGTGGATTGTGCGTGCCGTTCCGACTGTTTGCCATGCCTGGCGGGATTTGCACGCCCGTGCCTGACCCGCAGTGATGGTTGGACTGACTGGCTCTCACATAGGTCACATCAATAACCTGTACAATACAACTTTCTGGACCTTGGTGCTCAAGGGAGGGCTCACTGAGTATGAGGCCGAGCAGCGGCTCGTGGTACGTCCTCGCTCTGGAGCCTTCCGCTCTTTTCCGTTGCATACCCCAAGGCCCAGGGGTGGCAATGGAGAAGGAACAGTCAGCCAGCAAGGAAATGACGCAGAAAGGGCACCATCCGCCAGCCCGATCTAGTGCCAGTCGACACGATGACCCATGCCCGCCTGGTACTGCTGTGCAGGGCACGTTTAGCAAGGACAAGAACGAGCTCTTGTTCTCAGAGTTTGGCATCAACTATAACGAAGAGCCTTTGATGTTCCGCAAAGGCTCGGTACTGCATTGGCGGCGGATACCCGTGACCGTGACAAAGGAGGGACCTACCAGCAAGGTGAGTCTCCTTGGCTTAAAACATACATTCGAGACACACGAGCCATGGCATGCCGCCTGTGCTGGTTCGGTTCACCTGACGTTGTTGTGTTCATCGGTCAACTGCTGGGGCCTGGCAGGCAGATCCAACGCCCGTGGTGCGCACGGTCACGCGCCAAAAGCTGACGGTCATTGTTGATCACTGCGGTAGGTTGCACGAGAAACCCTTTTGTCTTTGTAGAATGTTTGTTCGTTTTTCAGATTGGCTGCGTAGGAGGACCGTGGCGTATCTGGATGCTCTCTGGGTTTTACAGTGCCTCGCATAATCATTGTTTTGCGCTACCTGCTTGGTGCGGTTTAGACTTGCTGCAAGAGGAATTCTGGACGGAGCATGCCGATGTGTTTACATCGTCATCGGTCTATGCTAATGGCCCACGTGAGGCTAAAGGTGCTGCCAAAGGTCGCGGCCGGAAGGCCAAACACTCGTCAGAAACGACAACAATTGTTGAACCAAAGGAAGCGGCGCCGGCTGCGAGTGAGGCGAGTCAGCGCAAACGTACTGCTGAGCAGGCGTGTGGCGAGTAGTCTTTTCAATCGATGTTGCATTGATATCACGGTCCCGTCGTTCAGCATAATACTCGATTATGAGTCGGCCGCTTTTGGTCATCTAATGTCTGAAAACATGAGAAGGTGGTACTTTCAATTTCGATCATCATCGACAGCGAACGACTTGTCTCGCTTTCTCCCTGGTGCTTTGAGGAATGAGCAGCTTGACCAAATTGGACGGCCTCGGTTTGTCTGATCGTGGTCTCTCTCTGAGTTTGACTGAAATTAAATGAAAAACTGGCAAGGTGGGCTATTGAGACACCCCTTGGATACAAATACAGGTCAGGGACGACGGGAAGGCAAAGCAGCGACACCGCACGATTGATACACAATGTCGATCAATCACTTTTGTTGAGCAAAAGCCGCAACCACGCTCGAAATACAGCAAAAATTGTGAAAAAATTCAACGAAATTAGGTAAAGTCAGGCGTCAAAGTGGAACCCGAAAGTTGTCATCTTCAGTTCGCTTCGTGGCAGGAGAGATCTGGAGACGGAAGCTGAGTGTCGCGGCTTGCAGCTTTTGCAACTCTCCAACATCCAACGTAGAGTATAGCGCGAAAATCCCATTCGGTCAGCGCGACGTTGTGATGTGAACTCTCATCGCATTAAGGAAAGTATTCAAAGTAGTGCGTGATACAAGCAGATTTTGGTACTGCTTGTATCAAACAGATCGGAGATCTGCTGGCGTCTAGATCTGCTCATAGTAGATCTGCTTTTTCTTTGTATTCTTCTAGTGAGACGACGCGGCCAGAAGGGGCTTGGCACGTCAGCTTCAATAAGCTCATGCAGTCTGCTGGACCTGTGGTGGTGGTCGGCAGTTTCGCGGCGACCACTGCGATGGCTAGGATGATTGCCATTCTTGCTCTGGCTTTGAGCATTGGCGCGATCGCGGATCAGACGCCCGTGACGCTCCGTGATTCGGGCGTTATTGTAGACCAATACTGGTCGACCGTTGATGGCGCCACGAAGAGGCTCTGTGAGACGACCGCGCTGACTTTGTGCCCACGGCCAGGCGAGACAATGGTGCTCAATTTAACAGGACCACTCGTCGTTGGCAGCTTGGGAATTTGCGACTTTGACAATAGTAGCCGGTTGATCATCCCCACCATGCCCTTCATGGTGGCCATCAACGAGAGCAATGCATCGTGCCCGGAGATTGAGTTGCTGCCTTTTACCACACCGGATCCCACCATGTCGACGCCCAAACACGACAAAGACTCGAGCTGGATTGCAATAATTTTCATCGCTGTCGTTGTCGCCTTTGTTCTGGGTGTCGTCAGCTCAAGACGCTGGCATCGAAGAATCATTGACCTCAATCGTGGCAAGCCAGTTGAAGAAAGAGGCATTGGCTCTCGAGAGGTGGTTGTAACCACAGCTTTCATGTTACAGAATTCCCTTGACCGAAACACGTCTTCAGAAGCTACCGCTGCCGACGAGATGAAGAATCCTGCTGATAGCGTTTCCATGCCCCGCGTGGATGCCGCTGCTCGCGACAAAAATTCCGCTCATTGGTGGAATGTGCGTCGCGAGGATGCTGATTTTAAACAGTATCATCGAGCTGCTGACACCGCAGGGACAAGTCAAGTGTAAGAGGCATCGGTCTCTCATCACTGCTTTCAATCGCAAAACCTCTTTTTGGGCTCGCAGCGCCGCACTTGCTCTGCCGCCCATGCGCTCTGGACGCATTGGCCCGACTCAAATCTCAAGGTTCTTCAGACATTTCTTCATCTGCAGCTGTGCACTGTACTGGGGCAGCTTCCAGCATGCTGTGACGTCTCATCTCTCTCTCTTCTCGGGCAGCACCCTTTTTCATTCTCACCAAACGGCCTCATGACGTAGCTCTCGTTGCTCCACCCATAAGTTCGTGGCAATCGTCCCGCCAAGTCTGGGGCTCGTGGACAAGCTTTGCTGGCTTTGATTGTGTTTTCGTTTGACTTTTTTTTTTGCCTGTGAAACAACTCTGGTCGCACCTCTCCTTTGGCAGCCTTGTGACTTCCATAGCGCGTACTGCGAGTGAGTTTTTGTTGATCTCCCCTCTGGTTGCCATTTCCCCAAATTGAAGAATATACATGATTGAATGTTACATATTTGCCGGTGACAGTGATATTATTTTATGACGACATGAAATCATCGGCAAGGTTTTGGGGAAGACTTTTTGGGGGTTTCATTTACGATGACCACTTTGCAAACACGCCGCTGGGGCATGCACATATCTTCAGCAGGGTCACCAAACTCGAAAGGCATGCAGAAGCATGAACAAATTTCGGGAATTCAGCGCAAAGTCCGGTGGCATTTATGGTCAGAGATGGGCCACATGAATTCCGGATGACCGCTTACTCTGTTTCGCCGATGCGGGATTGTTGTCGGGGCTGGAGTTGTCGGTGCTCTGACCCAAGAGGTCCCCGGCAGAGAAGCGAGTCGTCATGCGTTGACCCTCGCGGTGAGTGATAGGTCCCGAGGGCTCGATCAGGCTGGATTGCAGAGCTGCTTTTCCGGACATCAAGTCAAGCGCGGGAGGCGGAGGCGGCAAAGGTTCGGCATTGATTGTGTCCGAGCCAAGCGAGTCGCTCAGAAGAAGGAGCTCGGCTGGTGGTGGAGGCAAGGGCAAATCTGGGTCTGCTGCCCAAGCGGCCACTGCGGAGCTGTGCTTGACATCTACATCTTTGGATTGCTGGGGTGGAGGGACGGGTGCTTTGCGTCGGCGGGGCACTTTTTTGGCAGAAGAGGGTGAATGGGGTGTTGGGGAGGCAGCCTCGATGGGCGGGGTAGTGACGGAGGCGACCGGCTTGGTGCGTGGGAGTACTGGGGGAGCTTTGGGTCGGATAAAGGCGGTCATACGCCGTCCCCGCTCTGTTTTATGTGGGTTTCGAGCTGGTTCGGCTGGGTCTTCCGAGTCACTGGGCAAGGCATCCGAGTCATAGTCGTCCTGGGCAGTGGCAGCTGCGGCAGCAGTAGCTGCCACCGGGGGACCAATCGAGGCAACGGAATCGCACGCGCGCGCACGGCGACGTGCCAAAACTTCCAGGGCAGCAGCGGCGTAACTGCCGTCTGCCGAGTTGTACTGTGGGATTATTGTTATGTACAGTGCCAAAGCACAAGTGAGCACTGATCAAAGTGGGCGTGGGGTGGAGAAAGCGTATGAGAGATACATACTGCGCTAGTGGCCATGACATCGCTTGGCTCATCTTCTGAATCCTCCTGATAGTGGGGTGTATACGGTCAAGCCTTGAGATCAAGCGGGAGCAGCAGGCCAGAGGCCAAGGGGGGGGGGGGGGGGGGGGGGGGGGGGGGGGAATTT